ATTCAAACACTGATGTGTATATATGTAATAATACGAACGTGACATATTTTTTACTTGTTACTTGAAAACTCCTTTACACAATTTTGTTCAGTTCAGTTTTAGTATAGGTCATAGGAGTAACAGAAAAACTAACAGACAGTTATAATAATTAAAGAAGTAACTTTGAAATGCACGTATTATAATTATATTTTATAAACAGATAGTTTTTGGTTACCATCATATATAAATACAGAATAAATATAATATTGATAGGAATGAAATTTATAAAATTTAAGTTATTGGTTAATTACATTAATGTTATTTTTTAGTTCTTTATCTGTTAGGTACACCGTGTTTGGTTTAAAAATAAAGTGGAATTTATTTTTACCTCTTTTGAAATTTAAGTTAAAAAGAATCGACTGTATATCTACACAAATGTAAGAATTTAAAATTCATCGATAAAAATAACTCTTTAATGTATGAAAAAAATAGAAATGTTTGATTTTTTTACCACGGATTTTTACACGCAACATATAGTGTATGAGTTCTCGCGTATGTTGATCTTTTTATTTAAAAAAAAAAAAAAAAAAAAACTATGACTTATGACTTAAACGTATGACTTTTGTATCTCCCCTTTTCACTGATACTATCGATGTGTCAGTTACGATATAACAAAGTTTTTTTCCATAAAGTTATTTTTATTTGGATTATTTATGATTATGAACCACTGCTGCCTAGTGCCTATATCGAAATTCATATACACACACATATATTATATAAATAGTATTATATTTAATGTTTTGGTGTCTAAAATTTTAGAAATGTTTATTATTTGATGTTTTTATGATAATAATTATAATTGATGCGAATTTATTATATTTTGATTGTACTTTACGTTCGTTTTGTATCGAACATAGCACACTGTAACAAAAATATCATTTATATAAAAGTGGAACTTTGGATTTTATATTTTTTTGTATGAAGTCCATTCGTGGCTATAGACTTTTTTTTGATAATTTTATTCTAAAACATCTGAGTCTTCAGCAGAAAGTCGCAAAAAAGCAAAATTAAACAAACACATTGAATTGATTAGAAAAAGGTTAATATTCCAGAAATATATAAGATAAAACTGATATAGTCATTTTGTAGCCAAAGGTTAGATCCATATTATTATTAATATCTCATATTTTTAGAGGTTAAAGCTTAGGTAATAAATTACGTATATTTTATACAGGCAAGTTTTCGATTCAAGTAAAAACTAAGGAAATAAACAGTTTTTTTTTAACTTCCCAAAAATTCGATTTTGGAATATTAACCTTTTTATAATCAGCCGTTCATAATTAAATGACGATTTCTCCAAAAACAAAGATCTAAAAGTATTACGTAAAATTAGCAAAGTATTGTTACTTGTTGGGAGAAACGGAATTAGTTGAACTAGATTAAAATTATCAAGAGATTTTTTAAATTTGCCTCAATAACTTCAGTTGATTTTGAAAGATAATTTTCGACATACAAGCATTTATCAGATAGAAGGCATATTTTTACCGGAGAAAAACTTGAAAATCATTTAACAGTTAATTTTAACAATAAAGAATAAAAACACATTTCGAGTTGCATATTTTATATTATTTCTAAACAGAAATATTTATGCATTTATTTATACGTGTTCTTATTTATAAATTTATATTATTTTCATACTTAATACAACCTTGTATATTTAAATACAAATTTTTTTACTGCATATTTGTTGCGTATTTTAATGACTTTTATTGTATATAACATGGCATATTTTTATACATTTTAGTGCATACAAATCCGGAATCTATTAATAAACACCAGCTTGTGTATTAAATTACAACAAGATTATTACGTCTTAATGCTGGTTGGGGTTTTTGCGAATTCATGACTCGTTAACGAATAATGCACTATCTTTGTTGTACGTGTGAATGCTAGCACACACGTGCGAAATATAATATATGTAATATATTGTGTAAAATGCATTTCCTAGTGAAAATTGTTTCCCCTTCCCGTGGGGGTGTTTAATATTTTAGTGTTTTAATATTATTCCATAGAATTGTGTTTTTGTTATAGGGCGTTCTTTTAGCTTACGGTTACAAATTAATTAATATGCACTATTTTAATTAATTTACGCCTATAGAATAAAATTAAACACATAGGTAGATATATGCATATTATAATACGGTTGTACTATCGTAAGCGGTTATGTTATGTAGGTTATAGTATAACTCATATTATACTTTAAAAAACATAAAAATAATAATAATAATAATAGCAAAAAACACCAGTGGGCGTGTTCTTGTGTACCATGATATTCTGATTTATATGAGTTAGATTTCCATATTGTCTGTTGGGAAAAGTACGATTGATAAATTCAATATCGAAAGGTTGCTCGCACATCGAGAAGACAAAAACCTTTGTAATTTTGTTTCACTACGGTCAAGAAAAAGGTAATTCGATGCCATCTGTGTGTATACAGTGAGGCGTCTTGTCTCATGGGGACTTTAACATGAATCTGGTAGGAGGGGGTAGTTTTTATTGAAAAACACTCAATGAAAATATTTGCATAGTTTGCAAAATTATTCTATCGATTTATAACTCGTAAAATTCTGTTAAAAAGAACCAATATTCATATTGGAGTAGTAACTAATAAACTGTACAGTGTACATGTATGAGGCAACTATAGCTGATATTAATCAGAAATAAGATCAAGTATTAAATTATTTATTTTTATTTAATCAATTTTAGATTCTGAACGGAGCAATGAACGTATTGATATTAYAATGATGTTTTTATTTTGTCTGTGCATACGATAAGTTGTCGAAATGATGCTTCGATTTTTAACTTCAGTATCTTTTCCTGTTGGAAAGTGAATTTATTTGATGCGTTGGGAAGGTAAAAATTTGAAATTTCCAATAGTTTTCAAACCCACCGTGAAAAAAAATTGAATGTCACTTTGCTGTACAGTGGGATGTCAAATTTTGAATTTCTAAGTAGTTTTCAAAAGCACAAGAAAAAAACAAAAAAAAAAAGATTAATTAAGGAAAAACGTGAATTTTTACGCAAAATCGTTTTTTTTTTTTTTGAGAAAATCGATATTAGATATTGGTATAACTCTAAAACGTATTAACGTAGATACATGACATTTCCAATGATATATAGTCCTTTTATGTACATAATACAATTTTAAAAATTTTCCAAATATTTTAAAGTTATTTACCTATAGACATTTGGAATTTTCAAATGTTTTAGTTTTTTTTCTATAAATCTCAATACAATTTTATTTGTTTGGTGAGAAAAATTCAAAAATTAATATAAGGTTCCTAATATATCGTTACAATGGTAGTTAAAAAATATTAAAAATGTATGGTTACAATTTTTTTTAACAAGCATTTATAGTTCAAATTGCAATTTATTTTGAGCTAGAAATTCATAAAAATTTATTTTTTTAAATCTATGATTTGAAAATTCAATACAAGATTCTTCATGACTTTGCCTACTTTTATCAAATAAAAATGTCTAACGGAAAGGCAATACAATTTTAATGAGTATTTGAATTAAAACAGTGGATATTAATTTACTTGATTGCTCTCGTATCGATATTTTTAATGTGTTGTTATTCAAAATCGAATAATTCTAGAATTTTTAAATTTACACCATATGTTTATTTTATCAATTCTTAAAGTTGATAAAATTTTCAAAATGTTTCAAATATTTTTAAGTTATTAATAGACATACAATTTTCAATGTTTTAGTTTTTTATTCTGTAAATATCAATAAAATGTTATTCATTGGGTAAAAAATCTTGAAAATTTTATACAAGGTTCCCAAGAAGTTGATATAATAGCAGTTGGAAAACATTAAAAATCAATAGGCAGTTTTTTTTTTATACCGTTTAAATTTTAAATTTTGACAAAATTTATTTAATTGAAAATTTACAAATTATTTAGTTGTTAAAACTTTAGAAAACGTTTAACTTAAATAGCTGAGGATTTAACATTTAAAACAAGGTTCCATGTAAGTAGTTAATTCTGTGGCAAAAAAATTCAAAATCTATATAATCACAGTTTTTTATAGTTATTTTAAGTTTAAATTCCCATGAAATTACTTATGAAATAACTAAGAATAACAATTTTAGTTATATTGTTGTAGGTAATTTAAGAATATTATTCGTGGGTATTTTAAATTTCTAGAGTATAGTTTTTATTCTAATTTTAATAGTTAATGTTGTTAATGACTGAGTGAGTAAGCTACATAATAATGAATCTGATTTGATTAATTTGGAATTTATTTTATAGGCACCTACATTTTTTTTAAAGTAATAACAGTATAATATTAATATATAGTATAACATATCCTAGACTGGCAAACCGTCTCCACTCAGAATCGTTTTTTGTATATATTGATATCATTGAATTCAAATTTAATATCATCTATTACAGTGACCCATGCACTTATAAACTACTGTACATCAGAGCGATTTTAAMTTATCCACTTTTTGGCCCTCCTTAAGATACATATATTTAATAATTAAAACCGTGTGTTTACCTAATTACTACAGCCGTACAGTCTGTACTACTATTATATTATAATATGACTAAGAAAGTATCTAATTTATAAATTTTAAACCTTATTTTGAGAAAACTGAGTGATTTTTTTATTTTCAATCCCTCCCCTTCTACCATTGAAAAATCCTGCGAACTCCATAGCTCTCAACAATTAGATACCTATGTGTGATCATCAAAATCAAAGGTATTTCCGATGAGACGAAGTTTATTAGAACTTTCGGAATAAAATAAAATATACAAAATAACATAACATATTTTTGTCGTTTTATTATTGGAGTATTTTATAATGATAATAGAGAAAATAATAAGTGACTAAAAATCGTCAAAGATAATTTTAACTTTTAAATATTATTGGTTATAAATTAATTAATCATATTTTAATTGCGTCAAATATGTATTAAATAATGTTGTGTGTAATATGAAGTGTCTGGAGTATTAGGTAGTTTTTGAAAAATCAAGTATGATATTCAGATTTGGCATGTGATTTCTGATTTGTACACCCGATGCCAGAAATATTTTATTAGCGTATTTATTTTTATTTTTACCATCTTTTGGATCTAAAAAATACACAAAATTTTTGATACCCAATTGAATAATTATCTTCGCACATTCCATGCATAGAAAAAGCAATACATGTATGGGGTAGGTACAACCTTTTACATTTATAGAGCTTTTATAAAACACAGCATTCATTTCAGCGTGGCATACTGAAAATGTAAATTAGGATAAAATGTACTAGTTTATCAGCAAGACACAAATAGTCATAAACATTATTACTTACCATAAATAAATTTATTTTCTAATTCAGATGAATTACTTTTACCCCATGAAAAGTCGTTATCGCTATATACAGTAGGCATTCCATTATATCCTGTGCCTTTCATAAAAAGATTATCCCAGCTTAATTCTAATACGCTAGTTTTTGAAAACGAAGTGGAATATTCTGTTTTGGTGTGTGTTCTCTGATTTTTATACCCAACGCATTAAACATTTTTTTAGATGCAAGATTTTTGAATGATTTTGGGTCTAGCAAATACACTACTTCTTTTATACCTGATCGAATAATAATTTTTGTACTTTCAGTACACGGATAAAGTGATACGTATATGGTACAGTTTTTTTTACATCTATAGAGTTTTCATTTCGGCTTGAAATTCTGAAAATATAAATGAAAACCAATAGTATTATTTTATCAAAATGGCATGAATGGGTAATATTAATAGTAGTTATAAAAATTATTACTTACAATCTCACCCATTAGGAAAGTTAAGCATTCTGTTATAACCTATGCTTACAATTTTTTTGTTCAAATAAACAATAATACAAGCACCAACTTTAGTTCCAAAACCTTTATTACATTTGGCTGTTCAATATGTTGTTGTCATTAAAAGATCATCCCAGCTTAAATAATTTGTTCGCTTTCTATACAAATAATACAATTTCTAATATAAAAATTTTTAGATTCTGAGCGGAACGAGAAATGTATTGATTTTACCATGATGTGTGTTTTTTTTATTTATTTTTTTTTTTTGTGTCTATCACATTTTGGAGCCGTAAAAGTGCTTCGATTTTCGACTTTCATACCTCGTTCGATCAGAAAGTGAATCTAGTTGGTACTTTGGGGGGTCAAAAATAATGAATTCTCAATATTTTTCTAAATAATCGGGATAAACAAACTAAAAATTAAGGAGAAACGGTAAATTTTACGCACAATCAGTTTTCGATAAAATCGATTTTTGATTTTGATGTAACTTTCAAACAAATTACCATAGATACATGAACTTTTCACCAAATGTTTATATAAGTATATCCTATCCCCCATGCCATTTTCAAATTTCAACTTAAGTTGAACTATTTATAGGCATATGCAATTTTCAATCATTATAATGTATTAGTTTTTTTTAAATTAATATCGATAAAAGTTTATTTGTTGGGTAGAAAAGCTTGAAAATTGAATACAAGGCTCCTCAGAGGTGTTTCCACACATTTTTTTTTGAGATTATACTATATATCATAAAATATAAACATGTAATGTGGCTTGGTGAGGCGCGGTCGTACGCTCAATCTGCAGAAACGTACTGAAAGCGTACGTACCGGCCGTAGTTGCTAGCTCCCAGATGGGTGACCACCCGGGATTTTTAGCAAAATATTATTCTTGCCACACATACACAAACACTGCAACCCTACCCACTTAAAAACCTACGGACAAATATACAAAAATGGCCCTTACCGTACCACCCCACACCCAATGGCCGAATTTGCTGCGGGCTTCCCTTAAAAAAAAAAAAACATGTTATACAATAAATAGTCTTATGGTTTATAGGAGTAAAGCCGGTAAAGAGCGTGTCAATAATATGGAAAAAATCTTAAACCAAATTTTTTATACATCCTCTTTATACTACGTATATTTCGTCAATCTTTACAAAGTATACACAGTATACCCATAATATTGAAAAAAATCTTGAGGATACATATATGGCGTATATGTAGTATACCCTATGGGAACACCCCTGAGGCTCCTAACATATTATTATAAAGCAGTTGAAAAGTAAAATAAATTCATAGTCACGATTTTTTTTTTATAAGCATTCAAAGTTTGAATTTTGATAAAATACGTAAAAATCATAAAAATTCACAAATTATTTTAAGCTAGAAATTCATTAAAAATTTTCCTAACCATTAGTATTATTAGTTATAATATTATCATTTGAATCTGTAGTTTCRAATTAAGTCAATTTGAGTTTCAGATTCATTAGCATTTTTTGTAACTGTAAAATTATTTAATTAATAATTCATAATTGAAATTGTGTGGTTACAAACTAAAACGTGTTATTGTCATGTTTTGAAAATTGAGTTATACGTATATTTATACTGAAAAAATAACAAGAAATTCAAAAGGGGTTTGAAAATGTACTTTTTTCTGGAACGTACTATTGCCATTGTAGAATTAAGTCAAGACGTGTTATTGATATTTTGGCCCAAAACGGTGCTATTTCCCGTGCTGCAGCACGTATCTATATGTAGATATAGGACAGTAAAATTTTTGGTTGAAACATGTCATTATCATATGGTTTTGTGTCAAAAAATCGTTACTGATATCGGGATATTAAACAATCAATATTTATCAATTTAAACGCAAGGCGTACAACTTTGACACTTAATATAATATTATTTTTAGAATTKAATATTATATTGTCCGGTTTTTGAAATTTTGTTGTTATATTTTTCGCAAAAAACACTACTGAAGTAGATCATTCTTGCTAGGAAATTTCCATGTCAAAATGTGCTATTTACTGGTAAAAGTACGTTTTGGTGTAAATAAGTAATTACTTACCTAATTGAATTGTTCAAAATATGGTCTTAAATTAGATTGAACCTAGGTTTTAGTTAAAAAATAATGTTAAAAACTTACTACAGTCATTTATATGTGTTGATATATTTTTGGAAGGCGAATCACATTCATTTTGTTGAAATTTATAATATTATGAACATTTACATAATAAAAATAAATCAAAACTACACTGGTCGACTGCAGTGACAATAATTATGTTACTGGCTAATGGCTGCAATGGCTGTCGGACCTGTCGGTGGTCTAATGGCCAATAACTGTTTACGTTATCTTAATTTGAAAAATGTAATTTCTTCATTTCAACGAAGAATAAATATTATAATAAGTCCCTAATAAATACATGTAAGTATTAACATTTTATGATACTATTTAGGTAACGACTGTTGAGTTAAAGTATAAATAAAGCCATGAYGTGTCGGCATTTTCGTAGGTAACGAAATCCTAAAAGATAAACTAGTATATTATAATGACATGTATTATAATAAAATTATAATGTTATACACCTCGTAGCTATTAAAAAATAATAAAAGATCTTGAGACCTATAAATTCTTCGAATTAATTCATGCAAATATAACGTAGATAAGAATAGTACCTGACTATAGTAGTTTATGACCAATGACCATACACAAATATGCATAAAATATAATTAACTACGCATTATTTATGAAATTATGACCAATAAGTCACATATAAATTATCAATAAAAATAGTTAAATATACATGTTTAGAAAACATTTAGCATCTTTATAATTTGGAAAAACTATTATCCATAATAATTATGAAAATATTTCATGTTTCTACGAAAAAAAATAACTTTTCATGACCACAAGGACACTTGCAAAATACACGTGCCATCCATATCAAATGAACCCYGAGTATAGCATCAGCAAATGTATCATAGCCATTGACACCTGAGCACTTACATGCCACTCACGTTGATAGKATTTGTACACTTTTATATTTTTTTCTTCATTTAAAAATATAAACTATCATTTTTGGGTMACTATTTTGCAAACGTTTTTCAACTAATTAGGTACATATTTTAAAACYACCAATATCAGCTATATACGAAAATAAATGGTACCATAACTTTCTCCATGAGTCATGGCAGCCTAATATCGTATTGTTCTGTGATTCACAAAATATAATATTTAATATTCACGTGAAAGTGCTCCCATAAAACGACGGATATTGGATTCAAATTTTATTATGACAGAGCAGTAATAAATTTCTAATAACTTAATAATTATTACTATGTTAATGACAAGCCTACAATAATTTTTCACATAAATWAATTTTAGATCCCATTTTCTATTTAATAGTCGATTCACTATTGAGTAAAATATAGGTATAGTTTTAGTGAGCTACTAAAAATATCATATCGTATACACTTGAGTGTATAGCCATCTGTGATAATTCATTTTATGCATTATACCTGCATAAAAAATATTATTATTTTATTTTTTTTCTATTTGATTATGAAGGCTTCAACTTCTAAGGTCATTAGTCTGTAATAATTAAAAAGCATTGGTCTTAAAACTATGGGGGAACATGATGTTCATTATTAGAGGGAGTATGTGAAATATACTTATATATAATTACTACTATATAATTACGAAGTGTATTTTTTCTTTTTTTTACATTAATTTTGCTAAGCCTATATTTGTTAAAAAATTGTATATATTTTTGGATTTCTATTCGCCAAAGGCTCGTTGAATCGTTAGGTTAGGTTAGAGTTTGTCTGGAGATGTTGAACTTGGGGCATTCTAGTATGATGTGTTTAATCGTAAGTTTTTTGTCACAGGGTTCATAGGTCGGGCAGTCTTTTTAGTTATAAGGTATTAAGGTGCAAGTGTGTTAGACGGTAATGTCTAATTTGAGACCTTGTGATAACTACTTCTTCATGCCGGGATTGGGAGTTACCCGTTTCCGCCTAAATAATATTGGTTGTTTCCGCCATAGCCCTTTTCCGCCAAAAACGAAAAAGGTACGATTCCCGTTTCCGCCAAAAGACATTTCCGTAAAAAAAGTTTAGAAATCAATGGTCTTTTTAATTGTAAGCAATATATATGTTGTGGTATATATAATATAAATTAGTAATGTAAAATGTAAGTAATAGAAATGACATTTGTAAATAATTGCGAAATTGCGAATAGGTACAACAATATATACAGCGATAATCTTCGATAATTGTTGATAATCGTCGATAACGGAAGGAAGTATACTCGTACACTGTATCATAGTTTATTTATAATTCACACACAATAATAATTATCTGAGAAATGTTAAATTCTTATATTTCGATTCGGTATCTGTTCTGTTCGTCATCAGTTTAACAACAGTTAATATGGTTTTTAAAATGAAATTTGTTAATATTTTTTGTGACATTTTTAATTATTTAAAAATAACGATATGTTTTTTTCAAAACTYTATTGAGACTATATTTGACCTATACTTGTATTATAATTTGAAATAGTTAAATATTATGTATTATTATTATCTACTTGTACCTATTATAATTTATAATAATAAAAATATTTTTATATGATAAGAATATGTAATATTTGACATTTGTACATGGTTATAATAATACACCATCGTACTAGCTATTTTAATATCATATTAACACACGTTTGAATAATAGTTAAGACAATTCATGTTAGAATTTCGAAAGCTCAATAACAAATATATGCAGAGTAAAGTTTATGTAAGCATATTCAATGTATATGAGTCATAGGAAATGAGTGAGCTGATGAAACATCGGCTTTTCAGATAGACAGAAGACAGATGTAGACTTGGAGTGTTCACAGTAGCTCACTAAATATTATCATAATTTTTTTAGTCATTTGTTTTTATTTTTAATTCGTAGAATAAATTGATAATMAAAATCTTGAATGATCTTGTTAATGATTTTGGTTTTAACAACAAGTGTATAAGTGGATAGTATAAGGTTARAATAAATATATTAGAATTTACAGAGAGGTCATTCATCAGGGAAACTTTTATATTCTGGGGGAAGTGATGAGTATTGATTTTACTGCAATGATGTKTGTGTATGTGTGAAATTGTTTTTAGATCTGTGTATACGACAAGTAGTCGGAATAATTCTTCGATTTTTAACTTTAGTAYCTTTCCAGCGGGAAGGGAAAGTGAATATATTATAACTATATTCATAGTTGGAGAATTCTGGAAGTCCTAATAGTGTTCCGCAAAAGCGACGGGGAAAATAAAAACAAAAAATTAGGAAAAACTGAAATTTTAACACAAAATTAATATTCACTTCAATATGTATTGAGTAAACATTGTATTATATTATAAGAAAAATAAGTTTCAAAACTTGTAGAACATTTTTAACAATATTATTTGTTTCATTTTTGATTAAATGTTATAAAGTTTTTAATTTATATCTATCTTTTTAGTGCAGTATTATAGATACTAAAAATTTACTGTGATAAGTAATGAAAATTTCTTGAAAATAAAAACTTAATCTTCATCACAATATTATTAAGAACAGATGATTATTGACGTTTTATAGTGTGAGAGAGGAATATCTATACCTAATTTAAAGTGTAACGTTAAAAAAAAAACTATTGTCAACGTTCAAATATTTCAATATCTTTGCCATTCTGTTTTATTTCAAAAACAGCGTTGTCCGTCGATGGGTTAATATGTCACTCCCGTTCGATGTTCCTCTCATCYAAATGCAATATTAAATGGATTGAATAATGCTTAAGATAAACGTCATTTTCAATTGGCTGAGTTCTCATTTAGCAAAGTGGCTGTACCAATAGAAAAAATGAACTTCTCCGTATACTTCCGTGTCCCCTTGACACTGAATTCTGTAAAGTGAAAAATTAATGGCACGGTAATTTTGTTACTGTCTAACTTGATCTTAAAAGCTTTTCTAGTTTTAGTTATTTTTATCTTTTGTGACGAAATATTATATAGGAGGACAGCAAATAAATAAATTTACCAAAGAAATGTCTAATAACGTTGTCTATGTAAGATAAAACATCCACCGTAAGACATTTCCTTTTGAAAAGTATATTATGCACACACAATATGCGAGTCTATGCACACACAATCAATTGATTTGTTTCATAAAATTATAATGCACCAGCCTACAATTTGCAAATTTACTGCTTTTAAAAGACTGAAATTCAAGAATCTAGAAAWGATAAAAATTTGAATATCTAAATTGTGAATAATTTTTCTCGTTAATGAATTAGTCAATTAGTGTAATTAAAAAAAAAATATATGAATCGGTAAGATATTTATTTAATGTTAATCGAATTTATYCATAATAGTGCAGCAGACCTGTTTAGCAGGGTGGGCAAATCAAATTATGATTTTTAAGATACTTGAAAATACTTTATCAATTCAATTTTTTCAATGTATTTAATTATTATCTTAAATTGTGATTTTTAATGTAATTATTTAAGTTTAGTAATATAATGTCTCGTAATGTGTATAACAAGTGCAAAATACTTTGAAGGGTAGYCAATTGTCCACTTGGCTCACCCGGTGCGCACCCCGCACACTTATGTGTATGGCTACATAATATATAATTATGTATACCACTTGAGTTCAGCAGATATTGAGATACAGAAACATAATTATCTGAGGTATGTGTTCAATTTTTAATACATAACATTATGTTGGACGTTTAACAATTTGTGCAGCATCTTTTCAATTTGTCATCAGACAGACAACAGAATGTCTGGATTTCATTATATAATGGAATGACTCCGAGATTGATCACTGCAGAGAAACAGAACGTACCATTCAGAGAACCAACAAGTTCGAACTTGATTGACACACTTTTACGAGTTTGAGGGTTCTAATAGCTTTACAGGCGATACAAAACCTAGATGTACTTCGGAAAGGACCATGGTCAGGAGAATACCGTTTATTGAATACAAAATTCACTACAGAGCAACACACCGCYGAGGTGAACGATCGGCTTTTATTATATCACTACATATTTCTATGAAAAAATGTGTTAGGTGATAGATTAATTATAGCACTGTAGAGCATACTCTAAGTTTTAATTTGAATTAAATATAAAATAATATATTTTAATACTCTATATCATAGTATTATTTACTTCCACAAGAACTGATGTTTCAAACAGTGAGAATGACGCGCTGCAGGACCATAGTCATTTGTAGATTTTTTTATTTCATACGAATAGTCTTTAAAACTATTTTATATTTTTTATAAAATCTTTTATATAAGTAAGCATGTTACCATAATATTATATTTTCTCGTATATCTTGTGGGATTTTGTTTTTTTTCGTACTCAAACACGCATAAAAAAGAAACATTTCTTATGTTGAAAGACGATTATATGCAAGTAAAAATAGAGTGTTGTTCGTACCAGAAGTCACTGGGGTTTTCGAGCGAAAGATTCAACCGCATTATTTTAAATTACTCCCGTATACTTAGCTAGAGCATCCATGGCGAATAAATCGGATAAAACATTTATCTCGCTGTCGAACCGTCGATAAAGTGCAAAGCATTGGTGGCGATTTGTCGACGACCGTGAAGATGATGATGGTGATGACGATGATGATGATTATGTCGGTAGCGTCAAGACATACCCTTGTAATAGAGTTGTTTTAAACTTTTTTTTTGCATAATATTATTTGTCGTTGAAAAATACAAATTCGAAAAAAAACATTTTTTTTTTTTTAGCCGTTAAAGCGAAATCCTGAAAATCGCCACACCGTCATTTTTGATCACGTTAGGAATGTAGAACATTATGATCGATTTATAGAATTTTTTTTAAGTTCCGAGGATAGGTTAAATGACGTTATCTACGTTTATTTTTCAGTGAGTTGTTTTTGAGGTTTGAATAGTCGTATCATATTTTAATAATATTATTTTATGCTGAACGACATTACGATGAGCGCAATTGATATTTTTCTACGCGGTCTATGTTTTTTGTGAAACGATTTCATATAATTACTGTCGACGATTTTATTATGTACACACTTTTGTCTTATATTAGACTTCGATATGTTAAGTTGTTAATAGTAATTTGGGAAAATTAACATCATATGATAAAAGACGCAATATATGCATATTATATAATATATATATA